TCCGCCGCCGCGCGCCGCTTGGACGTGTTTTTGTTTGTTTGTTGTTTTTTTTTGTTTTTTGTTGTTGTCTTTAGAATCGTGGGGCAATCTGTCCCGTCCCCCCTCTCGAAATCGACAAGGTCAGCCCATGCCGTCCTGGCAGGAGACGGCGTGGTCGTTGAACCTGTGGGCGTTGTGCAACATACGGCGTGGTGCCAGTCCTCCTCGGGCTCGGCGGGTCCGCGCCAGCTCGGAGGCCAGCCGTGCTCCGGCGCGAAGGCGGAGAACACTCGGCCCGTATGATGAAAGAGAAGTCGTGACAAGGTTTCCGTTGGCGAACCTGCGGAAGGATCATTCGACCGCGTCCACTCGAATTCATTGTGAATATTTCAGTAGTGGAAACAATTGGTTTTCAAAATGTTTGGTCTTTGGAAGCTCTGTGTGGCGACGCCCCCGTCGCCACGCGTGCCCTCTGCGTGCCTGCGGGGGCGCCGCCACGTAGAAGTACTGGAGACCGAGCATTTGGGGTGTCGCTACGCACGCCCTCTGCGTGGCTGCGACCATTCGTTTAAACCCGAAAACCAATTAAATCCACGAATAAAGCAAGAGTCGGTGAGGCTCTGGGTGGGGATGGAGATAGCGTCGATGCGCGATAGGGATGCAAGGGCCTTGGGCGCCCATGTCGCAGCTATGCAAGGGCCTTGGGCGCCCATGTCGCAGCTTCTCGAGCGGGGCGCGCCCAGCAGGAGTGGTCAAGGATGGGCCGAGGAGGCAAGGATTTGCAAGGGCACCCTTGGGGAAGGCTGCCCACCTTTTCACGGGCGAAGAACGGTATAACATATTTTTTTTTCGCCGTCGGGGGCGCCTGCCCCTGGGCGGCTGGAAAGTTTATGCCCTTGCGGTGGCACCGTAGGGGTATAAACTTTCCAGCCGCCCAGGGGCAGGCGCCCCCGACGGCGAAAAAGTTTATTTTATACCGCTTTTCGCCCGCTGAATCTTTCCCATGCGGGTTGACGGTAGCCGACGTCCGAGTCGTTGCCACCGTCGGGCTCGCGGGAAGACTCGCCGAACAGGCCCTCGAGGTGCGCGTCGGCGCCGGCCGGGAGGTGCTCCTGGATGGTCGATGGGGCGAGGCTCGCAGGCCTCAGCCCGGAGCGGCTCGAGGAGCTCCCGTAGCTTCATTCGGGTCGGGCGAAAGGGGGGGATAGCAAAGGGGGGGTTTGAGAAGCAGCTCACGTAGCTGATTTTCCCGGCGCCTCCCGGCGCCTGGAGGCGGCCACGTATCGAGGAATGGGCCCCTCGGTGGGGCCGAAACCAGCTGCATGCAGCAGATTTCGTAACCCCCCCTTTCCCAATCCCCCCCTTTCGCCCGGCCCGATTCATGGTGCCGAGCCAAGGCGTCCGCCTGCCATCGCTTCGTGTAGGGGCCCGGGGGAGCCGTCGGCGCCCCTCTCCAAGGCCACGCCAACGGCGATGTTGGTTGAAGGCGGTGCTGGGAGTCTGGTTCCTGCGGCGCTGAACTCGCGCAGAACGAGGCGTAGGAAATCACGAACAGCATCGCCGTTAGCGTGTCTACGGCCTCATGTGCTCGGGCGCGCAGCCGATATCTGAGACAGGCCCAGTCAGAGCGAAAGAGTCGGATCTAGCTGCCGATTGATGCCTCTGCTCGTGCACTGGAGTGCTGGTTCTTTGGCACAATCGTCGTCCAGCCACATTGGGCGCTACTCTGGTGTACAGTCAAAATTTGCAAGGTCCAACATCAGCTGGACGATCAGCCTGTAGAGCGCCACCTGCATGTAGTGTGCGCGCAATGCAACTTGGATCCAGTCGTCATCAGGATGAGGACAAACTGCATCATACCCTGTGCATTCGAAAGCGTGGATCCAGTAAAAAATGTCCGGATCGCATTCAGCCGCACCAGCAAATGTGGGAAGATAGACGAGGCAGCCCAGGCGGCACCTCATCGCCGTCTAGGCAGTCTCGTCCCCGTTGAAATTTTGTTCACCTCCGAGGGGTGATTTTTTGAGATGGAATGGAGGTTCATCCACCCTAGAGCTTGCAGGGAGAGCCGGGACGTGCAGGTTGGCCTGCCGGCCGTGTTCGCCATCATGGTCAGCCACGGGCACGGGACCTGCACCCAGCAACACCGGGAGGAGGTAGATGGCATCATCACCGTTTTAGTCACGACGCGAAGGATTTGGGGAAAGCACGGGCGGCCGCCTGGGCCGCCCGCGCCTGGCGACGACGAAGACCCCCCCACGGGCCTCTCATGCAGCTTCGCCCCGGCCAGAAGCTCGGAGGGAACCCAGCCGCAGTGCCAAGAGCGCTCGAGGGGGCCAGAAGCGATCCAACACGCATGACCACCGAAGGCCTCCGATCGCCGCCGAAGGCCGCTTCCCGAAGGCCTCCGATCGCCGCCGAAGGCCGCTTCGGTCTGGCGAGGGCGGCCTGGGCGGGCGCCTGCGCCTGCGCCTGGCCCTGGGCGGCGGCGGCGGCCTGCCCCTGCGCCGCGGCCAGCGCCTGGGCCTGCGCCTGCCTCGGTGGCGCGCGGGCGGCCGCGGTGGTCATCAACCTTCCAGCTGCTGCTGCTGCTGCTGCTGCCGCTGCTGCTGCTGCGCTGGCTCCTTGTGCCACTCGTGCTCGTGCTCCTCCCACCGCCCCGCGGACTGCTACGACAACGCGCGAGGACGGCGCGCGCCGCCATGAGCTGGTAAGGGCTCTGCTCTTCTGTCTCCTCAGCAGGTGTTGGCTCCCGCTCTTTCTCTCTCTCTCTCTCTCTCTCATCTCTCGTTGTTTTTGTTGTGTTTCTCTCTCTCTCTCTCTCTCTCTTTTCTCTTTTTTTCCTCTCTCTCTATCCGTTCGACATTTGCCCCCCCGTCTCGTCCTCGCCGCTGTCCGGGCGGCGGCGGGGGCTTGGCCAAACCTCTCCTCGTGGGCCAGCATCCACCATGCCACCGCCCCCCCCCCCCGAACAAAAAGAGCGGGCCCGTCTCGGGAACACGTGCTCTGCGGGTGCTGTCTCCCGCGTTCGCCGCTCGCCTCGGCACAGTCGTGCAGCCCTCCACCTCGCTCCTTGTTCACCCCGCCTGCAGCTGCGGCTGCAGGCGCGGCGACCTCCGCGGGCGGCGCGAGCAAGGTGGCTGGGGGAGGGGGGCAGGCTTCTCAGCAGGAGGCCGCTTATTAGACGAGGCCCGCACCTTCCGAGAAGCAGGGGTCCTTCTAAGAAGCCATCCCCCCCTCACCTGAACCCCCCTCTGCGCATGGCTGACTCTGATGGGCCGACTTTCCACCACCACCACCACCAACGCCATAGGCAGAAGAGGGAGGCGGAGGAGGAGGGAGGAGGGAGGAGGGAGGAGGAGGAGGAGGAGGAGGAGGAAGACCAAGACCAAGAGGAGGAGGAGGAGGAGGAGGAGGAGGAGGAGGAGGAAAAATAACAGCAAGAGGAGGAGGCGGAGGAGGAGGAGGAGGAGGAGGAGGAGCGCCATTACCTTCCGCAGAGTTCGTCAACAACTCAACCTCGACGCCTGGGCCTGAGCCACCTGTATGGCCTAGCCGCGTTGGGCGGAGGGGGTAAACTCGAGCAATTGTTTGGCATTTTGGCTAATGCCGCTTTGAGGGCATCTAGCTGCTGCGGTAGAGTTAAAAGTGTGCCCGTCTTGATGCGAGGCGAATTCCTTAGCAACGTGGTAAATATAGAAACTGAGAGCTGTTGCTAGAATTGCATTTTCCCGGGTGGGGTCAAACGCGAGGTATTGTACAGGGAGCCCAGGCCCTAGACGGAGGAGGGGGCACGGCGAGACGACAGCTCGAGGACGACAAACGAGGTAGGTGAGACCAGGGCACTTTAAATAATGCGCTATGCAATCGGTGTGGGAACACCCGAAAACATAGCTCCATAAAGTGTCTGCAACGTGCTTTCGGTCCGTGGTGGTCCATCCCGCCGAAATCGTCTTGAGGTACGGCCAGCGAACGCTTGGAGGGGCCCGACAGAGGATTTCCCGCACCAGGTCCCATCTCGCTATCATGTTCCGGGGAGTAGCATAATCAAACCAAGACCGCAGGCGACGCCCAAGTAGGAGCACAAGCTTATCGGGATAGGCGAAACTCGCAAAGGGTACGCGTATAGAGTCCTTGCAACTTGGGCCGACGACCCTCCAGGGCGGCCTCACGCACGGCGCAAGGAGAAGGAGGAGGAGGAGGAGGAGGAAGGAGGAGGAGGAGGAGGAGGAAGGAGGAGGAGGAGGAGGAAGAGAGGAGGAGGAGGAGGACCTCCCCATCCTCCCTCCTCCCCCGCCCCACATCTAGCAGCGGTGGTGGAACACTGGCTCATCGGGCTCCTGCGCGAGCTCCGCCGCAGCCGCCGCACCCGCGGCGCAGCCCCCCAGGCGCGGCGGAGCGCCGGCCGCGGGGAGCGCCGGCCGCGGAGCGCCGCGCAGCCGTCGGGCCGCGAGGGCCAGCCTCGCGGGAGCCCTTCTCGGGCACGCGCAGGGCATCGGACCCTGGGCAGGAGCTCGAGCAGGAGATCGACTCCATGACTGCTTGGCCCCAAGATTGCTCTCCTCGTCGGGTCTACTGGGAAATGCGAAGACGTGGCCGTAGATCTAGGAACAGCACACGTGGCCACGGTCGATCCCACGACAATCTCAATTCTGGAGTCGGTGCAACCATTTCGTGGTCGATTTCCTGCTCGAAGAGCGGCGACCTGGCCGATTCCCGAGACCCTGAACCCCAAAAATTGTTGACGTCTCGCTCTTGTATGCCACTTTCCGCCGACCGTCCCCCAGCTTCCGCCAGCGAAGCCGCCGCCATATGTTACCTCCGCCGGAGCCCGCGGAAGGCGAATCTCTTTCTAGAACGTGCGGTTCGGCGCGCGGCTTCACGGGGCTGCGGGCGGGGGGGGGGATAGTTGCGGGGGTGGTGGCCCGAAGCCAAGTGCGCCAAACACTGTCTGGGGGGGGGCCTGTGGGCCCGCATCGATCAGCGAGGCCTCTCCGGCGAAAGGTCGCTCTTGCGCGAAACTGAATCCCGCGATCGCCGACCGGCCTGGGACCTCCCCAGACCCAGGCATAGGCACCATGATGGTTTCGCAGCGTACTGACTACCTACCATGGGGGAGGGTAGCCAGCTGGGGCAAAAACCATGTCTGCTCCTGCGCACGCACAGTGCGGCGGGACGCACTCCTCCACTTCCAAGGTGGACAAGGAGGAGGAGGAGGAGGAAGAGGAGGAGGAGGAAGAGGAGGAGGAGGACCAGTGCAAAACCAAAAGTCATCAACGATGTTGGGATTCACCCTCCCTCCAGGCTCCCTCTTCATAGGCCCCCACACGGTTCATTTCCATTGAAGGGAGTGCTTCGTTGGAAGACAATCGTTTGAAGGTCCTGAAGCATGCCAAGACATTGTTGTCGGGACTTCAACGCCACGTATCAACCTGACTGCTGCGTCTTGGCGATATGGAATCGTGCCAGAGCGCAATTTTCCGGACTTCGACACCGCGAATCAGCATAACAGTTGCACCCGCATAATCCTGAATCCTTCCAAAACACCGTTTCTGGTACGTTGATCATGGGAAGCCGTCAAACTCTTGCAAATGTTCAAAACGAATGTGCGCGGCGCTAAGGCGACAAACGCATTTTGAAAACGGCCCGCCCTCAATCCGTAAAGTTCTTGCAATTGTTTAAACGAATGCGCGCGGCGCTAAGGCGAAAACCACATTTTGAAAACGACCCGCCCTCAATCCGTGAAGCTTTTGGTAGAGTTTGGAGCGAGTATGCGCGGCGCTAGGGCGAGAGACACATTTTGAAAAAGACCCGTCCTCAATCCGCGAAGCTCCTGCAAAATTTTAAACGACTATGCGCGGCGCTAAAGCGGGAGCCACACTGGGAGCCGGCTGTAAACCGTCAGCATTGGTTACCGCCGGGAACTCGTAGAGCTTCCTTGCGATATACATGAATGGGATGCGGGCGCAGCAATCTCGCATTCCGCGCGCGCGAGGGTGCGGTTTCATGGAGGAGGGCGGGGAGGAGAAGAAGGAGTGAGGAGGAGAAGGAAATGGAGGAGGCTGAGGAAGAGAAGGAGGAGGAGGAGAAGGAGGAGGAGGAGGAGAAGAAGCAGGAGGAGGAGAAGGAGGGGGAGGAGGAAAAGGAGGATGACGAGCAGGAGGGGGAAGGGTGGAGGAGGAGAAAAAGGACGATGATGATGATGCTGATGATGATGATGGTGATGATGAGGAGGAGGAGGAGAGAAGGAGGAGGAGGAGGAGAAAGAGGAAAAGGACCAGATGAAGGAAGAGGAGGAGGAGGAGGAGGAAGAGTAGGAGGAGCAGGAGGAGGAGGAAGAGGGGAGAGGAGGAAGAAGAAGAAGACAGAGAAGGAGGAGGCGGAGGAGGAAAGGAAGGGGGAGAAGGAGGAGAAGAAGGAGGCGAAGGAGGAGGAGAAAGATAACGAGGAGGGGAAAGGGGGAAGAGGAGGAGGAGAAGGAAGGGAGAGGGGAAGGAGGAGGAGGAGCAGCCTACAGCTCGAATTTAGTGCAGATACATCTATTATTTCTCTCACCAAATACTGCAGAATGCTCAAGTGTACTCTGGTGGCGAACCAATCTCAGACGGCCCGATACTATAGGCGACGGTCCGACGATTCCCTGTTGAGGGGTGTGCTTTCCAGCTCCCTAGCTTGCCTATACATTAAATACAGATGCCCAACACCGTCCATATTTCTGAAAGAATGCAAATAATTCTGTGGCTGCAGCTCTGGTAGCAGACCGATCTCAGGCGTCTAGACTGCAGACTGATCGGTGCTTCGCAGCATTCCCTGTTGGTCGGCGTGCATCTCAGCTCCGTAGCTGGCCCAGAGCTCGAATTTAATTCAGGAAACGCACAGCATTGCTGGTGAAATTTGTCCAGTCGTAGCTACGCTTGCAGGCCGAATTCAGACGTCTCGATATCGTTCGCGAGTGTACCTGGTGACCTTCTGCTTCGAGAAGTGCTTCTCAGCTTCTTAGCTAGCCTACAGCTCGAATGAACCAGAAACAACTATCAAGGCACCATCATCTCTGAAAAACTAGCAGAGTACGAGTAGTTGTTTGGTTCCAACTCTGGAAGCAGACCGAATTCGAACATCTAGATACCTGAGACGAGCGCTCCTGATGAGTTCCTTTCGAACGCTGTGCCAAACATCTCTGTAGCTCATCTGCAGCTCGGACTATATCAAGAAAGTCATCCTCATCTCTTAAAACACTAGCAGCGTACGAATAGTTTTTCGGACCCAGCTCCGAGACCGAGTTCGGGCATCTAGATACTTGAGACTAGCGTTCCTGATGGCTTCGGTTCGGTCGCTGTGCCAAATAGCTCTAAAGCTCATATGCAGCCCGAGTTAAATCAGCAAAGTCTTCATCATCGCTTGAATAAGTAGCAGAGCACAAATAGTTTTGTTGGGCCCAGCTCCGGTAGCAGACCGAGTTCGGGCATCTAGATACTAGAGACTAGCACTTCGGATGATTCCCTTCCGATTGCTGTGCCGAAC